TTAAAAAAAAAAGGGCTCGCGCAAGAGTGCGAGCTCTGAGCAACAGCGGTTCGAGTCCTGGCCCGAGCTGAGTTGCTGCTGAGATGCCAACAGGTGGCAGGACGGCTCAGCTAAAAAAAATAAATAAAATAAATAAAATAAAAAATGAATGGATAAAGAAGTGGTACATATATACAATGGAATATTACTCAGCCATTAAAAATAATGAAATCTTACCATTTGTGACAACGTGGATGGACCTAGAGGTTATTGTGCTAAGTGAAATTAGTATGACAGAGAAAGACAAATACCATATGATTTTATTTATATGTGGAATCTAAAAAACAAAAAAACAAAACAAAACAGAAACAAACTCATAGAGAACAAATTGATGGTTGCCAGATTTCGGTGGGTGGGTGGGTGGGGGGTGCATTGGAAGGCTGTGTAAAAAAGGGGAAGGGATTAAGAAATATAGATTGACAGTTACAAAATAGTCACGAGGATGTAAAGTTCAGCTTAGGGAATATAGTCAATAATATTGTAATAGCTATATATGGTGTCAGGTGGGTACAAGACTTATCAGGGGGATCACTTCATAAGTTATATAAATGTCTAACCACTATGCTGTCCACCTGAAGCTAACATAATAGTCAATGTCAACTGTAATTGAAAAATTAAAAATAATTTCTTTAAGAAAATGTAGAATAAAGTATAGGACGTGTTTTAAACCAGGGAAGAAAGAATGGCTTATTCAACATATGGCATTTTGATAACTGGCTATCCATTCGGGAGGAAAAAAAGTTACAGCTCTTCAACGAACTCGAAAAGAATCTGGAGGCATTGGTAGACATAAATAATTAAGATTTATTGAAGAGTCTTGGAGTTTCCCATCTGGGAACACAGCTAGGCTAAACCCCAGGAAGGTTCCATAGAAGAGTGAATAGAGACCAAGTCCAGGCACTCTCATGAAAACAGGTCTAAACATGAAGCCAAGGTGTGATTATAAAAGCCCTTAAGACCTCAGAAAGATCTACTGTGGAGCCTCAGAGTATTTGTTAATGAGACAGGCTATCTAAATATTTTAAGCATATGCCTGAGAGATCCTTTCAATCAACCAAAAAGGTTTCTAAGGATGTGATCCCTCAGCGAAGACTAAGGTAGAGAAGGGCACACCTTGAAGAGGTTGGTGGGTGTAGTTTTTGTCTAATGGCATGACCCTCAGTGAGATGCACAGAGAATCGACAGTTTCTGTTTGTTTGGTTTTTAGTAAATTTACTGAATTTTATCAGAAGAAACACTGAAAAGGGTAGCGATGGCACCAAATGAAAAAAGGTCTTTGCACCCCCAAAGCTCTACAAAAAGCAGGGGGAGAAATCTGCTCAGCTGTAAATACATACTTCTTTTCATGAAAAAGGAAAGAGGAATCAGAAGGCAGAGCCAAACGTCCAGAGAGTGGAGTCAAGAACTGTAAGGAGTTACTTCAGGCTCAGATACATAGAGCTGAGTCACTACCCAATTTTAAAGCTATTTTACCATCTTATTCTAACATTGCTTTATTAAATCGCCTTTAAACCAGACTTACCATTATAATAATTAACTAGTGAGTTGAATAAAATCTTTGACACATTTCATTCTATTTTGTAATCATGTTTTTTGAAAATTATACTGACAATATTAATCCCTCGTCAGAAATATATTCCCTCTTTGTATCATCTGCCTATTAACTCGGCCCACGGTGTCCTTTTGAAGTTTTAAGAGGTCCTTTACGCACCCCCCGGCCAATATATTCTTTCACTGAATAACTTCTGCATAATTTTCAACCTCCCACCTGTTCCAACCTCTGCGCTGGGGAGTTCTGATGGGAGCCTTCTCTAATTAAAGCTGAACCGTCGTTAAAGCAAAACCTAGATTTAGGAGCAAATAAAAGACATCACCAACTCAATTATCTGGTGTTTGGGGTGAGGAAAACGGGGTGCTCCGTGGCTTGAGTTCTGCAGTGTCACTGCGGCCACCGCGAGCAGAAGCGAGGACCCGACCGCAGGCGGGAGGGGTGCGGGTTCGGGCGGCTCGGGGACGGGGGCGACAGTCCCCGGGTCCGACCTGGCTGGGGGCGGAGTCCAGGCCGGGCGCGCCGTCAGCTGACTGCATGACACTCGCTCGCCGCGCTTCCTCCTCCCGGGCTGAGTCGGGAAGTCAGTGCCGCTCGGGCAGACCCGGGCAGACAGCAGCCGAGGGGCCATGGCGCAGCGCGGGCTGGGACTTGCGAGGCTGCCCGGGCTGCTGGCGGCGCTGGCGGCGCTGGCGCTGGTGGCGGAGCAGGGCCCCCGCGTGTCTGCCGAGCGGGGCCTGGCTCTGTGGCCCATGCCGCTCTCGGTGCAGATAGCCCCGCGTCTGCTGCGCCTCTCCCCCGATAACTTTTACTTCGGCCACGACCCCTCTTCCAAGGCCGGCCCCTCGTGCTCCCTCCTGACGGAAGCGTTTCGGCGGTGAGTGCGCTGGCCCGGCGGCCGAGCGGGCAGGGGGCCCGGGGACCCCGGGGCGGGCGACCCGGGGGACGCTGTGCAGGCGCGGGGGCGATGGGGGAGGGGCACCTGAGCGCCCCTGAGCGCCCTGCACAGCCGTCCAGCCACGCTTGCGTTCTTATCCCCATTTCACAGACGAGGAAACCGTCTCCGAGCCAGTTAGTGCCTTGACCAGTCACAGGTCCAGAAGAGTGCAGAGCCGACTCCAATCACGGAAGGACCCCCAAGCTCTTCCCCGTCCCCTCCTACCGCCTAAGGGACATCTTGGGCGCCCGGGAGTCCTGGTTTGCGTCCGGGATACTGAGGGGAAGGAGTAGGTTGCTCAGGATCTGTGGCCACGTTCGCCTCGGAGCGGAGAATGGAGTGGGTGGAGGGAGGGAGGGAGGGAAATGGCAGCTTATTTGCAGGGAGTTCTAGGAGGGAGAAAAGGGCTTGAAGCTCGCGGACCAGGGATCCCCCAGTTAGTTGTCACTCATAGGCTGGCTCACCACCACCACCCCCCCCTCAAAAATCTGGTAACAATTCAGATGGCAGAAAGCCCTCAGGTTGGAGCACTCCCTAAAACTCCCCCACCCTTCCAGAATCTGTTCCATATAAAATGTTCGATGTTTTCATCTAATTACTTCGATAGGGTCCGCACACCTCAGTTCTGCTTTTTATGCAACCAGTCATGTGCTTGCTCTCCCAACTTGTTTAGTTCTTTAGCCGCTCAGTCCCGCGGTGAACTGTGTAAAGGGGAGGCAGCCCACCGCCTGGCTTTGCAAGCCACACCACACAAAAGGCAGATTGCACACGGGGCGATGCTTTAACTGTCACATGCTGTCCCCTCACGGAGACCTGTGTGGAGGAGGGACTGTCCTGCAAGTGACTTGTGCCCTGAAGGATTGTAATTTGGTCCTGGCTGTATTGCCCCTTTCCTCCCCCAGTTTTGTCTGTTCCCAGTGGGCATTGAAGCTTAATTGTATCTGCAGGACACCAAACAGAGAATGAAAAAAATGCAAAAGTAGCTTAATAACACCTGCTGGCCCCAGATAGGCTTGGGGCTTAGGCTTAGGCTGATGAGACCCCACGGGAAATATTGATAGCAGAGATGGCTTCTTCTCTCCTTCAGTTTTGTATAACTAAATGGATACTGTTACCTTCATTTTCGATGCATACCCTAATGAGCTTTTGTAAACCTGCTAACAGGTCAGAATGGCCAGAGTCTGGGTGAGGAAGTAAAAACCAGGTGGTTGGCTGCCTGAGCAGAAAAAAATACCTGAAGGTCATCTAGAGGAAGATCACAGCTGGGAAATCTTTGAAAAACAAACACATTTACCTTATTTGCTTTGTAAAGCTGGATTTTCCTTCAGTGCCATTCCACTAGTAAAATAAGGACTTGGTAATATGCTGAAGCCATGAGTATGGCAAGCAAGCGTGGGTGACACGTTAACAATGGTAGATAACCAGGTCTTGAATCAGCTGTGAGATGGTTTAAAAACAAGGCTTGGTATTTTGAGTCAGTGCAGATAATTATCTGGAGTTTGCCTAATTAATTAATGCCTGTGTGTGTGAAGCAGCTATTAATTATACCCTGCATTGTTAGGAAGCAGGTTGTAAAACAGCCCTTGTGGCTAAGACGTGAGCGTTCTAGGAACTCAGGAGCGGCAGCGTTTCTTTCCGAGTAAAAACTCAGTGGGGTTGGAAAGGTTTAGAGTTTATGGGGACGTTCCAAAGCTGCGGGCAATCGGGAACACGCAGAGCCGAGGCCCCAGATTGTTCAGAACCCTGTGGCTCCTGTCTCAGAGCAGCCCAACTTCTCTCACAACTCTGCTTGGAAACAGTATGCATTTTGCAGGCAGAGAGTTGTTTGGTGTGTGACTGCCTCCTCAGCTTCTAGAACAAGGTCCATTATGTGCTAGTCACTAACTTTTTTTTTCTAACGAATAGCTTCCCTCCCTCAGTTCCTGAAAGGCTAAATTAACCTAGATACAGGCATACCTCACAGACATTGTGGGTCCAGTTCCAGACCAGGGCAATAAAGCGAGCCTCACGATAAAGTGAGTCGGAACCTTTATGCTGGTGGAGTCTTCCCTTCAATTTGTAAAAATTGCAATGTCTGTGAAGTCCAATAAAGAGCACCATAAAAAGAGGTAACCTGCACGTTGACGCCACTGCCTCAGAACCCTTTGAGTCTGCCATTAGAATGTTAACATCAAGATTTTCCTTATTTGGGACAAGCAACACCTAACTCAAATCTCAAAGCTGCTGGTAGTTTTAATTACCCTTAAAACACTTTTTTTAATGTGGTTAAATACACAAGTTACCATCTTAACCATTTTTAAGTATACAGTTCAGTGATCTCCATTTCCTTTTGAATCTGTTGAGGTTTCCCTATGAGCAGGGTCCTCAGTACCTTCCTCCATTCGTCTCTCCCTGGTTAACTTCCGTACACTTCCAGATTCATCAGAACTTCCCGACCTCTCCTTCTCTGGAAAAACGCAAGATATTCTTACACATAAGTAGCATACACAACCTTCTGGCTTATCAGAATCTATACAATGTTATTTAAACAATTGCTTTGAAGCCTAGCTTATCTTTTTCAGTATATTGAAGTGTTTATTTAATGTCCTCTTTCTCTATTTGGGTACCAGCAGAAGGTAAAATTTCAAGGCCCTAGTGAGAATTCTGTGGTCTGGTGACGTTTTTACAAGTATTAGCTAAGATACATTTGTTGGAAGGTAACAGGAAGCCTGACTCAGTCTGGCTTAAGCAATAAGAAAATCTATTCATCTCACACATTGGAAAGTCCAAAAGCTGGGAGGATTATAGGGCGAGTTGACTATGGCTCAATAGGACTATTAGGGAATCTGTATTCTTCCATCTCTGCTCTGCCATCTTTAATGTGGGTGCAACTGGTCCAAGTATCACATACAAAGTTTTCTTCTTGTGGCTCACTTAGGAAACTTCCTATACCCCCAAACCCCCACCTTCCACCCCATCACTGGTCAGAACTGGCTTGTACACTCAAGTCTGATTGGATTACCATTATTGGTTTGATTACTGGTTCTTATCAGGGACTTCATGAGTCACTCAGGAGTGGGAGGGTACCTTTTAAAATTCCCATGCCTGGATCCCACTCTCGGAGATTGATTCTGAAGGTCTGGACATCAGTATTTTCGAACAGCTCCCTAGGTGATTTTAAGGTGTAGTTTCTAGTTGGACTACTTTGGGGTAGCATGGGTTTGAGGGGTCAACTACAATGTCTACTATCACATATGTATTTAAAACTTGGCTACAATGGTTAAAAATTTGAATTTATTTCTCACACAGATATTATGACTACATTTTTGGTTTCTACAAGTGGCATCATGGCTCCGCTAAGTCTCATACTGAACCGGAATTAAAGCAACTTCTTGTCTCAGTCGTCCTTGACTCAGAGTGTGACACTTTCCCCAATATCTCTTCAGACGAGTCCTGTGAGTACCTATGTGATATGACTGTATCACATTCAAAGCCGCTTGTTACAGACTTACATGCCAAAAGCAGTCTCATGCCATGAACTATGGTGAATTCTTGAACAGTGAGTTTATAATTCCTATTTTTTAAATTACCATTAAAGCCTGATGATAAAATACATAGTCATTGTAGAAAATTTAAGTATAGTGAGTGAAGAGAAGGAACTAAATCATTCATAACTCCAGCACTCAGTTAACCACTATACTTCAGATTTTTTAAGAGCAATAAGTTTAAATATTTTATATAGGTATAAACATGTGATAAACAATGACACGAAAATGGGTTAATTCTGTGTTATTTTGCTTTTTTTACATAACAATACTTTATAAACATGTATTTCACTAAATATTTTTCTATTTAGTGAAATAGACATCATGTTTAATGGCTGAATGATGTTCTATCACTCTGTAGATGTGCCATAGCTAACTTGGCTAATTCCTTATTTTTGGACGTCTAGGTAGTAACTTTTACTTTGAAGACAAATCTTTGTTTATATGCATGATCTCTGTTTATAATCTAATTTGACACAAAGATAATGCAGAACTCTGAGGGCAGGGGAAACTATTTCATTTGATTAATAAGATAACCAACATTTAGCTACATCATCTTTTTTGTTGCCTGAAACATTCTCTAAGGCTTTTCCCAAATTGTTTTGGAAGGAATAAACAATTGGGCGGGCCTTTTCCATAGGGTGTACTGACTGGGAATAATGTGGAATTATACCAATAGATCCAAGAAGTGCAATGTGAAGAGATGGGTGATAGAAGATTATTGCAGAGAGAGCAGACTGATTAGCTGGGTGTAAAAATAAAATATTTATTGTGTATCTGGAGAAAAGAGTGATTCCTCTGTCCTTAGATTGCCCCACAGACAGTAAAGTACATCTCTTCATCCTCTTGGTATGTAGATTAGATTTCTTGATAACACATCTCTTTGAAAAATAACTTCCTTTCTCTTCAATCCTATAGCTGTTCTTCAGAGATACAGGATAATTTGGCAACATTAGTCATGTGATTCCATTTGTCAGTCAGCACTCGGACACTATATGAACCAGGTTTTGCAATCTGAATTGCGACAGACATGGCCATTAAATTATCAAGTAATATTTGCTGACTGTTGGCAATAAAACAACATATTACACATTCCAAAAAAGCTAGACTGGAGAGTTATAGCTTATCTTCCATTCAGCTTTGCAAACCCTCTTCCAAAAGGGAGCTTCTTGAGACAAGCTGATTATGAAATTTTCTAGTTGAAGGATAAACTAGTGTTAAGTTTCAAACGAGTTCATCATGAAGATAGAAGTTCACACACACATGACCAGTGTCACAGCATTATCTACTAATAAAAATTGCGTATCCTCAGGACCAGAAGTGGACTAGTTTCTACTGTAGAGAAATAATTACATATATCAAGGATGTTCACGCAGTTTGGTTGTAACAGTGAAGAACTGTAAGCAAAACTAAATGTTCCTTAACAGAAGAATGGGTAAATGTATCTTGTCAAACCACACTAAAGAATACTATGTATCAGTTACAAATAAAGAAGCAAAGTTATAAAGAACAGACATGGAGAGCTTACCAAGAAACACTGCTGAGCTGGACAAAGGAAGGCACATCATAATGTGCACAGAAGATAACCATGTATCAATACACATAAAGCAATACTATCTTTTCTCGTTACACATGTGTATGAAAATGCCTAGGAAAAGCCTGATAAATGTTTCCTCTAATGAAAGTAGAGGGAGTTGAGTGGGCATCTCAAAGGGGATTTTAGCTTTATCTATAATAGTATTTCATTATTTTTAAAGGAGAATATATTGATGTTATTTAAAACAAAAGTATGGTGCAAAACAACAGAAAGGATAACTGAAAAGTCAAAGGTGCCACTCCTGTTTCACATCAGGGAGGTAATCATTGTTAACACTAATTTGGTTTTGAAATAAAAATTGAAATTATGTAGCTTATGTGTTCATATATTTAGAAAGCAGTCTCCTTCTAACTGCTTTATATTTGGTTTTTGCATTGAATTGAATCCGAATCATGTTTAGTATCAGCGGGTCCTCAGTTTATTGGAAAATGGCATCAAGTATGTAAAACATGTTAATGTTTTTAGAGGAGTCTTTGTTCTATTTCTGGGAGAGCTCAAAACTAACATGCCAAAAAATGTTTTTTAAACAGTGACCAATGGAACTGTCAGCTCTAGGTAGCTAAGGTTTTGATACAGGTGGAGAGGAATCGTGACTAAATTATAGTCATAAGAATAATGCCGTTCGTAGCCTGGACTTTAGCTAACTCATCGCTTGGTCTCCTGATGGAAAAGGCTACCTTATCAGAAGACTGTCACCTGAGAAGGTCACATGATTATTGGCTATCAACAGAACTCTTTCCCTGCCTGCAGCCAACTATTGTGCGATGGTCTGGGCGGCGGTGGTGGAGGGTAATAATGAGGCCCGGATAAAACACTATATCCTTAACCTGCAATCCCTGAGCGTCTTTACTGTGGCCAAGTCTCCACCACTCACCCTTTAGCTTTCAGTCTCTCTGTACCATCGGGTGCTGTATCTGTGGTTGACTCCACCCCAAACTGTAACAGACTAAATTGACTATTGGGGCCACCTTAGGCAGAGTATGATTTCAAGGATTGAAAAATTTAGCCCCTCTTTGCCCAGAAGCAGCCAAAAGGAGCCTGTAGATGGGTGTGAATTTTTTATTGAGTGGACAAAGCTGAATTAAACTTACGTGAGTTAGGAAGTGAGTCTTAAGACAGGTTTAGGATGCTGTTGGGGAAAGGTGGGTGCAGAGCAAAGACTGAAGCACAGAAGAAAGGCAAGAGTGGAGATAACTCTGGCCTTACGCAAGTGCAAGATTTGAGTGATATCAGAGGCTTCACCAAGGAATTATAGGCACTGAGGAATGTTGCACTTTTTACTTAAAATCTCAGCTTAACTAGGACCCTACTTTGCTGAGGAACAGGTGGAGAGAATAACTCTCCTGGAGGGGAAAATGGGGAATCATGGAGATATCACCTAAGTTCCTGACTTGAACAACTCAACTGGCTAGAGGGTGGTGCTGACTGACAGATGAGGTGACAGGAGACGGGCAGGCGAGCTGTGTGGGGCAGGAAAGGGGGAAGAGCTCAGTTTGGGGCATGTGGAGTTAAGGAACCTACAGGACATCTCGTGAAGGTGTACAGGAGGCAGTTGGAGAAAGGCCTGGAGCTCAGGAGAAAAGAATGGGCCAGAAATACCAATTACATGTTGAGAAAATCTGTTGTGTGTCACTGAGGGATTAACAAACAGACTGCTTGTTTTTCAATACAGATACTTTACTTGTGAAAGGACCAGCGGCTCTCCTCAAGGCCAACAGAGTTTGGGGAGTATTACGAGGTAAG